CCAGGAAATCTTCAAGTGACCTTGAGCAGGCCAGCCCCTCTCCTTCGGAGGAGAACTCCGAAAGCTCGTCTGAATCGGAAAAGTACAGTGACCAGGTGGGGTTTATGTGGATAGAGCCTTTACTTTGTGATCTGTGGAGTTATTTTAGAGAAGGTGGAGGGACCATAATATGAGTGGGAGCTGTTGTATTTTCCCACCCCCCATCCCCAATCTTTTGAGACACGTTTTTCCTCTCTCTTATATAAAAGTCATTCTTGCCTGAGCAGGAGATTGGACTAGATGACCTCCAAGGTCCCTTCCAATTTTATTACTATTATTATTATTACTCTAAGGAGAACTAAATTCCCTGACAGTGCGAACAATTAATCAGTGGAACAGCTTGCCTCCAGAAGTTGTGAATGCTCCAACACTGGAGAAACCAAACTGGAGAAATTTTGGGGAGAAAACCCCTGCAGTTGGAATTGGTACATTCCAACGTGACTAATTTTTTTTCAAAAAATTTTTTTTGACTGATTACCTGGATGAGTAACGAAACGTTTCTGATTAACAAACTTTGGTCCAGTTGCCAGGATTTTAACTTTTTTGAGATATCCATCGTTGGAGGTTTTTAAGAAGAGACTGACGTTGGTCAGAAATGGCACAGGGACTTGGGTTGGACTAGATGACCTCCAAGGTCCCTTCCAGCCCTAAGATTCTATCATTTCGGCTGCGTTCAGTATGGATCCATGCTGGTAATTGTAATAATTGGAAGAAATTATTTAGTCATTCAAAAACAGTTTATAGGGGTGAAAGGAAGTCTGCGAACCTTTTATATCAGGGGTGGGCAATTAATTTTCCAAAGGGGGTCCCATGAGAAACTTGGGACTGTTGGGGAAGGCCGAACCAACCAGGCTGTGCAATTGTGTAGGCACGCACACCTGCACATAACGTATATTGAAAATTAGCAGTCTCCTTCAAAATAAGAACAATGCAGTTGTATTGCGTGCGTGGCATATACTTTATATTTGATTTCTAATTTCTGATGGACCTCATGCAAATGGCTGTCCAGTCTCTTCTTAAAAACTTCCAGTGTTGGAGCATTCACCGCTTCTGGAGGCAGGTTGTTCCACTGGTTAATTGTTCTAACTGTCAAGAAGTTTCTCCTTAGTTCTGGGTTGCTTCTCTCCTTGATTAGTTTCCATCCATTGCTTCTTGTCCTGCAAATAGCTTGACTCCCTCTTCTTTGGGGCAGCCCCTGAGATATTGGAATATTGCTATCATGTCCCCCCTCGTCCTTCTCTTCATTAGACTGGACATTTGACACAGCATCCCCACAGTTACGTGATCAGAATTTGGGCACTTGGCAACTGGCATGTATTTACGATGGTTGCTGTGTCCAGGGTGTGTGTGTCATGTGATCACCTTTTGCAACCTCCCCAGCCAGCGTCCGACAAGCAGAATCAATTGGGGGGGGGGAGCCTGATTGGCTTAATGACCTCATGATTCAACAATTGCTGTGAGTGGCTTAACCGTGACAAAATCGGGTGCAACACGCTTAACCCCGGCCTTGCTTAGCAACAGAAATCCTGGCCCCCAGTTTGCCGTCGTAAGTCGTGGACTACCTGTATGTTTGAAAGAGGGAATGAAGTCTTCTCTGCCCGTCCTTAATGTTTGGGGGGGGAATATTTAGGAACCGAGGGGGCTTCAACGTCCTATTCCGTGTCTCCCGATGTAGGACTTCACTCCAGAGAAGAAACCGCCTCCGAGGGCTTCGCGACGGGCACCCGCTGGAGGATGGAAGAAAAAGGTAAAGAGGATTTTTTTCAAATCTCTTCCTTAGAGAAGTTTTATCAATTATCTCTGGAAATCCAGGCTCGGTTTAGACTCTGTGATTTTGTAACCAACATCAGAAACAAAACTGTAGGAGGAGTAATACAAGCAGGGGTCGGGGTCAAGAGAGGGATCAGCCTGCAATCCCTACGTAGCCACAAGCGAACGAAGTCCAATCTCCCTTTAATTCCATTGACCCGTATCTAACTCCTGCCAGGTTTTCACAAAAGTCAGACCTACCCCGAAAATAAGCCCTAGCTTGATTTTGGGGGGTGGGCCCAAAAAAAAGGCACTTGCGCTCCCCCCCCCTCTCTCTCTCTGTGTATGTGTGTAAAAAACAGAGTGGCCTCACGCAGTTCTCCAACGAGCTCACAAGCTTATTCGGTGGGGCTCCTGCCTTGGCTGCGTCTCTGCAGGAAGCAGGAAGGGCAGGAGAGAGCCAGCCTAATAAGAATGTGTGTCAGCTTGTTGGAGAACAGCATGAAGCCAGCTTGCCAGGTGAGCAGAAGATCAGAGAGAGGGAGAGAGAGGAGGAGGAGAGAGAGAGGGGGGAGAGGAGAGAGAAAGGGAGAGGAAAGAGAGGGAGAGGGGAGAGAGAGAGAGGGAGAGAGAAAAAGAGGGAGAGGAAAGAGAGAGAGAGAGAGAGAGAGAGGAAGAGAGAGAGAGAAAAAAGAGGGAGAGGAAAAAGAGAGGGAGAGGAAAGAGGGAGAGGAAAGAGAGGGGGGTAGAGAAAGAGAGAGAGAAAAAGAGAGGAAAGAGAAAGAGAGAGAGAGAGAACTCATGCACTTTATTTCTTTTTAATTAAACTCTTCAATCAAGCTCCCTATCCCTTGGGTGCGCGCGTGCGCACGCAAGTTTTCCGCCTCTCAGTGTTTTCTCTGGGAAACGGGTCCAAGTGGCTCTTTGAGTGTTTAAGGTTGCAGACCCCTGCCCTACCCCCAAAATAAGCCCTAGATTTGCGGTGAGGCGCACGACTAAACATCAAGCTAGTGTGGCCGGGTGCTGCCCCACGTGTCCCGCCCCCACTCCCCGTTGCAGCCTGCCTCTCCTCGCCGGCCCGCTTCTTCTGCGGCGTCACCCATTTCGCAGTCAGAGGCCTTTCCGGAAGGCCAGGGGACGCTGCAGTAAAAGTGTGCCGGCTGGGCGGGGCTGTTGTTGCCGGATATGAGTGGAAAAGACCCTAACCACCACCACCACCCCCTCTTTTGGAGGGAAAAAATAAAAATAAAACTGGGTCTTATTTTCAGGCAAACACAGTAGCAGGTGCTAAGATGAACTGAGAAGATTCGAGTGGATAGGTATTTTAGCAATAAATCAGTTTAATGGGACTTTCACTCGTGGAGCTGAACTTTGGCGCCTGCTGACACCCATCTGGCTGCTTAGCCTCCCATCCAATGTGTTGGTCTTGTGTTGGATTAAACCACGGTTTCTTCAGGTTGCCAGGGTGAGGAACATTGGCCTGGACAAGGCCCAACTCTTTAGAATCCCCTAGGTCAGGGGTAGGCAACCTGGGCTCTTTTATGACTCGTGGACTTCAACTCCCAGAATTCCTGAGCTGGCAGGGCTCAGCTTGGAAACCTCTCCCTTTCCCCACAGTGTGGCTGGCTCAGGAATTCTGGGAGTTGAAGTCCACCAGTCATAAAAGAGCCAAGGTTGCCTACCCCTGGCCTAGGTTCACCTCCAATAACTTCAATTCTTCTTCGGGACATCGTTGGTTGCGCCTAGCGCAGGCTGTCCTCAACTTACATCGGAGCTACCTATTTATTGCATTTTAACAATAAAGCAGTTTAATTGGACCTTGACGTGTCGAATTGATCTTTCACATCTAACTGGGACACACATTGTCTTTAATATATAGGTAGGGCTCAACTTACAACCACATACGGGATCGGAGCATTCGTCGTTAAGCAGTGTGCTTGTTAAGGGCTGCAGCTGATTGCCTCTTTTTTTTTTGCCCATGGTCGTTAAGTGAGACATCCCCTGACTTGCAAATTCCCCTGCTGGCCTCCCCATTGACTTTGATTGGTCGGAAGGCAGCCTCCCCATTGACTTTGATTGGTCGGAAGGCAGCCTCCCCATTGACTTTGATTGGTCGGAAGGCAGCCTCCCCATTGACTTTGATTGGTCGGAAGGCAGCCTCCCCATTGACTTTGGTCGGAAGGCAGCCTCTGCATTGACTTTGGTCGGAAGGCAGCCTCCCCATTGACTTTGATTGGTCGGAAGGCAGCCGGCAAGTGACGAACCCAGGAAGCTGCACCCGTTGGAAATTCACGCCGGGTGCCAAGCGCCTGAATCAGGATCGCAAGACTGTGGGGCTACTGCGAGAACCGCAAGTAATACTGGCGGTCCTCGGCTTACAACCATTCATTTAGTGCCCTGTCAACGTGACAACAGCACTGGAAAAAAGTGACATACGGCCGCTTTTCACTCTTACGACCGTTGCGGCATCGCCACGGTCACGTGTTCAAAATTCGGACGCTTGGCAACTCGTCTTTATGACGGTCGCAGCGTCCCGGGATCACGTGATCCCTTTTTGCGACCTTCTGACAAGCCAAGTCAATGGGGGAAGCCAGATTCGCTTAACGACCTAACGTAACAACTACAGCGGCTCGCTTAACAGCTGTGGCCAGAAAGGTGGCAGAATGGGGCAAAATTCACTTAGCCGCTGTCTCGCTTAGCGACAGAAATTTTGGGCTCCCTTGTCGTAAGGCGAGGACTTCCTGTGAAGTTGTCGATTCGGGGGGCAACTCACTTTAGCGACCACCTAGCTTAGCGATGGGAGTTCTGGTCCCAACGGTGGCCGTCGTAAGTCGAGGGCTGCCTGTACAGCAGGCCGTCGATCAGAGTTCCTGTGCGGCAGAGAGGCGCCCCCTGCTTCGTTAGATCTGGGAGAGGCAGGCTTGGTTTTCGGGGGGAAGGTCATTGTGCGGGACGGAAGGGCCCTGATCTGCCGCCTCTGGCGTGGCTAAGCGTGCTTTTTGTGTGAGCAGAAAATCGAGTCGGCCTCCGACTCGGAGAGCAAGGCAGACTCCGAGGAGGAGGAGGAGGAGGAGGACAATGACCGAGAGGGCAGCCGGGCCCCCACTCCCAAGTCCGACTCTGACTCCAACTCGGATGAATCCGTCAAGAAGCCCCCCCGGGGAAGGAAGGCAGGTAAGGAGCCCGGATTGGCTGCCAGAGCTGGGCTGATCGTGGGTAGTTTTTATCTTGGGCAATGGTGCCTCTCCCTTCCTCCCTCTTTTCCTTCCTTCCTTCCTTCCTTCCTTCCTTCCTTCCTTTCTTCCTTCCTTTCCATCTCTCCCTCCCTTCATTATTTCCTTTCATTCTTTCTTTTCCTTCCTTCCCTTCCTCTCTTTCCCCTTTCCTTCCTTCCTTCCTTCCTTCCTTCCTTCCTTCCTTCCCTCCCTCCCTCCCTTTATTTTCCTTTCTATCATTCTATTCCTTCCTCCCTCCCTTTCCCCATTCTTTCCTTTCATTCTTCCTTCGTTCCCTCTTTCCCTTCCTTCCATCCCTCCGCCCCTTCCATTATTTCCTTTCATTCTTTCTTTTCCTTCCCTTCCTTCCATTCCTCCTTTCCCCCCTTCCTTCCTTTCCTCCCTCCCTCCCTCCATTTTCCTTTCATTCTCTTCCTTCCTTCCTCCCTTTCCCCCTTCTTTCCTTTCATTCTTCCTTCCTTCCCTCATCCCTTCTCCTTCCTTCCCTCCTTCCTTCCCTTCCTTCCATCTCTCTGTCCCTTCCTTCATTATTTCCTTTCAGTCTTTCTTTTCCTTCCTTCCCTTCCTCCCTTTCCCCTTTCCTTTCTTCCTTCCTTCCTTCCTTCCCTCCCTCTCCCTCCCTGCTCCCTTTATTTTCCTTTCTATCATTCTATCCCTTCCTTCCTCTTTTTCCCCATTCTTTCCTTTCATTCTTCCTTCGTTCCCTCTTTCCCTTCCTTCCATCCCTCCATCCCTTCCATGATTTCCTTTCATTCTTTCTTTTCCTTCCTTCCCTTCCTCCCTTTTCCCTTCCCTTTCTTCCTTCCTTCCCTCCCTCCCTGTCTCCCTTTATTTTCCTTTCTATCATTCTATCCCTTCCTTCCTCTTTTTCCCCCTTCTTTCCTTTCATTCTTCCTTCCTTCCCTCTTTCCCTTCCTTCCATCCCTCCATCCCTTCCATGATTTCCTTTCATTCTTTCTTTTCCTTCCTTTCCTTCGTTCCATTCCTCCTTTTCCCCCTTCCTTCCTTCCTTCCTTCCTTCCTTCCTTCCTTCCTCCCTTCCTTGCTTCCTCCCCTCCCTCCCTCCCCCCCATCTCCATCTGAGACAAATCTTCTTCCGCACTAGCCTTCTAGGGTGGGGGTTGGGGGGGGTACCTGGATTCAGGAAAGCGGCACTTCAAGATGCCTCTTTCCAAACCAACCCTCCTCCTTCTTCCCTCATTCCCTCCCTTCTTCCCAGCTGCCGAGAAGCCTCCCCCCAAGCCCCGTGGCCGGAAGCCTAAACTTGAGAGACTTCCCAGCAGCTCCAGCAGCGACAGGTAAGAGTTGGAGACCTTGTGCGTCCCCTCCCTCCCTCCCTCCCTCGGATCTCGCCAGGAGCCCCATCAGGACGGCACCTTCCATAGTCCCGGGAGGTTTTTTTGGAGGGGGGGTTTGCGAGCTAAACTTCCAGGCGAGCAAAGAGCTGACATTCCCCCCCCCCATGCCTTGGACTCTTCCTCCCGCCTCTCTCTTCGGCCCCCCCTCCCAGCAGCGACAGCGACGTGGACCGCATTAGCGAGTGGAAACGGCGGGACGAGGAGCGCCGGCGAGAGCTGGAGGAGAAGCGGAAGCGCGAGCAGGAGCAGGAGCTGCGCCGGCTGCGGGAGCAGGAGCGGGAGGAGAAGGAGCGGAAGCGGGAGAAGGCCGAGAAGGGGGAGGCGGAGGCGGCGGAGAGCGAGAGCAGCGCGGACAGCGAAGCCCCCAGGAGGAGCAAGAAGGGGCAGCACAAGGCAGCCCCCTCTTCCTCGGACTCTGAGGCAGAGAAAGAGGTGAGCTTGAGGGGTGGGTGGGTGGGTGGGACACCCAGGGGGTCTGGGCGACACTTTCCAGGGTTCTTTTCTTAGCCAGAGCTTCGGTTCTGGAGCCACCACAGCACAGAAAGGTTCTGGCAGGTTGTTGGTGCACGGGCTTGTATTTTGAGAGCCAGTGTGGTGTAGCCAGGGAGTTCTAGTCCCGCCTTAGGCGTGAAAGCCAGCTGGGTGACTTTGGGCCAATCGCCAGGAGACGATGAGTTCTAGTCCCGCCTTAGGCATGAAAGCCATCTGGGTGACTTTGGGCCAATCACCAGGAGAGAGTGAGCTCTAGTCCCACCTTAGGCATGAAAGCCATCTGGGTGACTTTGGGCCAATCACCAGGAGACGGTGAGTTCTAGTCCTGCCTTAGGCATGAAAGCCATCTGGGTGACTTTGGGCCAATCACCAGCGGAGAATGAGTTCTAGTCCCGCCTTAGGCATGAAAGCCTTCTGCGTGACTTTGGGCCAATCACCAGGAGACGGTGAGTTCTAGTTCCGCCTGAGGCATGAAAGACAGCTGGGTGACTTTGGGCCAATCGCCAGGAGATGGTAAGTTCTAGTCCTGCCTTAGGCATGAAAGCCAGCTGGATGACTTTGGGCCAATCACCAGGAATGAGTTCTAGTCCTGCCTTAGGCATGAAAGCCATCTGGGTGACTTTGGGCCAATCATCAGGAGAGAGTGACTTCTAGTTCTGCCTTAGGCATGAAACCCAGCTGCAGTTGTTAAGTTATTAAGACAGTTATTAAGTGAATCTGTCTTCCCCACTGACTTTGCTTGTCAGAAGGTCGCAAAAGGGGATCACGTGACCTCGGGACACTGCAACCGTCATAAGTACATGTCAGTTTCCAAGCTTCTGAATTCTGATCACGTGACCACCAGGATGCTGCAACGGTCGTGTGAAAAACAGTCACAAGTCACTTTTTTCAGTGCCGTTGTAACTTTGAACGGTCGTTAAACGAACTGTTGTAAGTCAAGGACTACCTGTACTCGCCTTGCTTTTCGGCTGCCAAAATCCGGATGTCACATCTCCGCAGTTTTACTCCTTTACACCTTTGCAACGTCTGCTTTCTTCGGATTGAATGTTATCTGCTTGAATTAATTAAATTAAGTCAGTTCCTCCATTTGATCAGCTTCCGTTTTCTACTTTAAGCGTGCTGCCGAGAAAAGATGGAATGCTGACGGGCTCTGGAGTTCGTGTATTTTATTTATGTATTTACTTATTAAATGGATTTGAAGTCTTATCTCGCTTCCAACAACTCTGGGCAGTTTATTGCATAGGAAACATGAAAAAAAAACACTAAAATTGTCGAGTCTAAAATGACAGAAGAGAGAGCAGAATTGCTACTGATAGAATGTCATGGTTCCAACAGATGAAACTCTTCAAAAGAATCTTTATTTTGAGTAGCATAATATCGGCACTACATAATCGAAGCCAAAAACTGAATTCCCCCCCCCCCTTGGGCACATAGTATTAAAGCACAATTCCCTCCTCCAATTAACAGTCATAAATCACATTCCCCAGTTAGCTTGAAGTGCAGGCTTCCCCTCCAGCTCTCCAGCCCGCCAATTCTTATCATCTCTTATTTCAACAACCTTGATTCTCACACTAGGTTTAGTGTTGTTATGTCTAGCTGGACTCTTATTCACATCCCCCCATCCCAGCATCATCTAACTCTAAAAGCAAAAGGGAAAAAGATGGCTACATTTCCCTCTGTTGTCAAAGCAAAAACATCCGATGTTAGCAGCGTTGACATCCGCCCCCCCCCTTACAAAAAGGATAAATCCTGTAAAATAAACAAAAGCACAGGTTAGGGATTTCCCTCTTGATTTGTTAAGGTGTTTCTTATAACCCAGCATGTCTGCAAAGAGTGCCAGGATTTCAACCAGTGACAATCTTGGGATCAAATTTGTTGTTCTCTGCTTGTAAAGGCTGGGAAGTTTTCAACTGCCTGGGACCGATTCTTTTTTCTTCCCCCCCCCCCCAGGTAAAAAAAGTACCGAAAAAGCAGTCGTCCTCAGATCATTCGAAGAAATCAAGTCAAAAGGAGAAGCGAGGCCACGGAGACGAGAAGGCGTCTCGGAACAGGTGAGGGTCCACGCAGGGTTATTTAAGGTTGAATGGTTTTCCCCCTCGAAATTCAGCTTAATTTTGGGTGGCAAGGAAGCAAAGAAAGTTTGTATGCCCACAAGCCAGTTTCTCTACAGCATTTTTATCCAATTGCGTTGTGTGCTTTTACATTCCTTCCATCAATGTATGCATTTCCATACAAACTTTTCCCTAGCACAGAGTTCCCCAACAGAAACAGACTGCCAACTGTCCAGTTGGCGAATCCAGGAAAAGGAACTCCTGGAACATTATTTTACCTGATATAAAAGTTTACTGAATAAATTTATTTATTTATTTATTTATTAAATTTATATACCGCCCTATCTCCCTTGCAGGACTCAGGGCGGTGAACAGGCGATACTAAAAACCACGAATAAATAAATAGTTTCTGTTTTAAAATCGAATTGAATAATAGGCCTGTTCTAAAAACACACCCATACAAAACCCCCCACTGAAACACAATCCAAACTACGCCAGGCC